ATTTGAAAGCCACAATGTACATTGCAGAATTTTTTAACATAAACAGTCTGCTTTTCAGAAGTGCTGTGCAACTGCAACTATAAAAATGGATGGGTCTCACTTTGAAGTAATGTAGTGCTACTTGCCCAAAGTAATGTAGTGCTGCTACTCATTTACTCTCATAAGTACATTTATTGTGAGGACACGCATGCCTCAGTCTCAAACTACGTTCACAGCAAACTTTATGGGTAACACTAAACAAACTGCCTCACACTTTCTGGTGAGTTCAAAAGGTAACCAGACAAGCATCTTTACACTGATAATATGTCAGTCACTGAAATATCTGAGAGCAGAGCAACCAACCTGTCTAGTGCTGACCCCAGTGAAGTGGGTACTGCAGGCAGTTTTTTGAGCATATCCTTTGCCAGAGGTTAATGCAGAGGTTTTGCCCTTTCTAGCAAAAGCTTTTTCTTTCTTTTGCTCTTCCTTTCTTTTTTTTTCCTTTTTCCTCTTTCCTTTTCCTCTTTTCCTTTCTCCACCATTTCACTCAATTGGGTTAAAAAGCAGACAAAGAGTGAAAATGACAGGGCTAAGACAGAAATAACCTTCAGTGGGGCTGCCAAGTGAGATAGGCACATCCAACAGGGAGCAGTAAATATTTCCACCTGGATGAAGGTGATGATGAGCAGGTTAGTCTATCTAGCTGTGCCTCATGCCCCAATGAACTCCAAGAGTCAGGAGCATTCAGAAAGGATGAGTGCAGTGAGGATGAGCAGGGGAACAGAAAGTCTCTCTTACAGAAGGAGACTCATACACACAGGTCTGGTAGTGTGCATCAAATAAAGACAAGAAGGGAAGAGGATGGTTCTTAATTAGTACACCAGGAGTGAAAACCAGAAAAATGGTCACTTAAGGTATAGGACAAGACTTGCTTAAAAACAAGAGGGTATAAAATTCCTGCGAGTCAGTTCAGGTCAGGAATCGGGCAGAGGTTTCTAAAGAGCAAAGCAAGTGGGGCTCTGTAGAGCTCTTTAGCAGTTACTTTGGCTACAAATGTTGGATGCCTAATATTTGTGGGAAAGCAATATCGTGGCTGGCCACCTCTCAGTCTGCCACTCATCCTCTGTATGCACGCCCTGGCACATCCCCATCGCAGGAACACACAGAGGGGCATGGCTGCCTTGCAGGGAAGAGGGCCAGGAGCAGCAGCAGAGCATTTTGTTCCAGAATGTCAACTGGGGGATAAAACCACCACCGACCGTGGAACTTGCACGTGGGGAAAATGGTAAGGAGCCAGAGCCAAAGGATGATACCAGAAAGGAAGAGGCTGGTGTGATGGAGAGATAGGCTTTGTTCTGATGTTCTAATCAAGGCTTAGCTTCATGTTATTAAGCAGACACGATTCGATGTTAAGACTGTTCAGACATTGTGGATAATCAGGCCAGCCAAGTTCAGATTTTGAATATGAAGAAGAAAACCATGCAAAGAAAAGTGTTGCAGTGTTACAATTTATTTTCTCTGAAGCATTTGCAAATGATATTTTTCCTGGGGCTCAAGAACCTTTGTCAAGGCCAGAATGGCAATGATCAACTGAGAAAAATTAACATTCTAACCCAGATCAACATCACCAGCTTTGTAAGTATAAAAAATAATGAATTTGCTTAGCACTTCAAACTCAGTAAAACACAAAACCTCGATGGCCATCTGCACTTAAAAGCTCTTTGGATTAAGGCAGTGTGGAAATTTACACTCTTCAGGCTCCGCTCGAACATTTAAAGTATAGTTGACTTTTGGTCCAAGCAAGACAGGTTTTTGTAACTTAATACATTTTCAAAGCGGGGAGTATCCACACATGGAGTTACTCTGCAGTGACTAATTGTCCACACAGGCCAGCCCTAGCAGCTAACACTGGAAGCAGGCATTTTCAGCACTCAAGCATAAAGCCTATAAACATTCACTCACTCAGTCACTCTGTCTCTCTCTCTCTCTCTCTTTCATGCAGGTAAAGGTATTTATCAGGTTTTGTGGGGTTGCTCATGCAAATGCCAAAGTATTTACAGGACTGGAGCCCTGATTTGTAGATAGGGACATGTGCTGTGGCCTTGAGTACCACGTCAAAGAAAAATACTAATGCCTGTACTGGGCTAGTGTATCCCACCATCTCTCCCATCCCTCTGATACATTTGGCTCTCTTGCACTCCCAGATAATGAACATGGGTTCAGTCACACACAAACCCTACAACACCCCTTCCCCCCATGGAAAAGTCAGCCAGCTGTTACAAAATTCAGACCTTTCATTAACACAGTTTAGTGGCTGATACTGCCAAGCAAAACAGAGACAATAATAATCAGGACTGAAGGGTCTGAGACAGCTTATGAGTAAAGGATTGTATGAGTTGTTTAAAAAGGACAAACTTGCTCCTGCCTGGAGTGATAGGGAACAAAGGGCGGTGATGTATAACCAGGGAGGAAAGAGACTCTCTCCGTGGCTTTTGTAGATTACCGTGTGAATGACAGGAGCGGCAGGAGCAAACACGTCTTTTCATTTGCTCAGCCTGCTGGAGAAGAATAGCAGCGCTTGCCAATGAAGCTGCAGCTGTGCTTCGGTGCTGTTTAATCACTGTGTATGACTGAGGGTAAATTAGCTGCCATTCTTACTCCTATTTGTTGTTCTAATGAAGATTTGCATAAATGTGAGAGTAGGGGGTAACTGATATTTGATTCTTCGCTTCAGAGGGCAGGATGGAAGACTCACCCATCCTATGTGTTTATGTTTGTGGGAGATTCAATGTTGCCTTTCCATTTGACCTGATCTGCTTCTGGCTGATGAATGGTGAAAAAAGAGTTCAAAGTTGCTTATCAAATCGAGACCCTTGTTGTGTTTCTGCCTTTAGAAGGGGGCAGACTAGTTAGATGAAGAGAAGACTGAGAGATTAGAAAATTGCTCCCATGTAAAAAATATATATGCATGTTTCTGCAACTACTTATTTGTATATATATATATATATGATATATTTCAATGGCATATGTATCAGTGACATATCTTTCTATGCATCCATCCATCCATCTGATGGTAAGTAATCAATAATTTTTTAATGATAAAATATTACAAAAAAATAATAGGACAGGAAGTACACCTGCAACTTATCAGGCAACATGACAAAAAGTAAGGACTTGTAAATTTCTGCAAGCGTTCTATTATACATCTCTAACATTCAAAGTTCACTTTTAAATAAAAGAATATCTAGCATGAAACAGACAATTTCCAAGGAAGGAGAAAATGACTCAGCACTTCAAAATTACCTGCCAACAGTGCCTTGTGAGACTGGGATGCAAATTAAGAAATTGTGTTAATTCATAAAAAAAAAAAAAAAGACAAAATTGTATCATGAAGCAGTGAAAAAATCCAAAACCACTTCATAATTAAAGAGAAGATTTGAAAATAAAACATAAAATTGTTTTATTTGCTGTGGTTATGACAATGCTTATGGTTGCTAACTAAAAGAGACTAAATGGAAGAACTTCCCATTTTTGATGTGCTAACTTGTTGTACATCATAATGTAACGGTATGGATAACAGTTTTCAGTATTCCTCTTACACACTTGATATGCTAAAACTGTTGTTTGACAGCATCTGTAAGGATTTAAGATTGAGAAGGCAGAAGTAGTGAATTTCTAAATTTCAAATCACTGCTGGAAACTGTCCAGCTTTCAAGATGACTGTATCCCTCCAAAGAGAGTATCTGTATTCCTATGAGAGAGCATGTATTTACTGCCCTACACAGCTTCTCAATCCCTGCACAGCTTTTCAATGTCTTTAGCTCTTTACCTGGTCTCTAAGACACATGAGCAAATATTAATTTGGTTTTTGTACACTTCTGTCATCTATCTGCCTGACTACCTACAGACACTTCTGCATATTTTTGGCCAAACACAAACAGAAATCAATCTTTCAGAGACATTAGTAGAGAGCATCCAATCCACCTGAAATAAATGTGCCTAAAATGGTAACACTCCCACTCCACCTCTCAGCTGAAAGGAACTTTCAATGTTCTATACAGCAACAAAACTACATGAAAATAAAACCAGTCAATCACATTTTTGCCCGCTCTCACCTTTGAGAGAGTGTTTTTTATTTATTTATTATTTTTATTATTATTTATTTTATTTTGAATTTTGAAATATTCCAATATCCTATTACAGCTTTTGATTAGCCCCTGATTATGCCAGAATCTCACATTCTGCCCTTTTCAAAGCAATTCTTAGCCATTTGGGCAAATTAAAAATACTATTGAAGTGTATAATAAAAAACAAACCAGCAACAACCCTCATAACATATAAACAGATCACATAAATTTTCTTCAATGATTTTTTAGTAATTTTTATATATTATGGTTTTCTAAGGCTACAGTCAGAATTATGTGTTGGTAAATAGGTTAAGAGAAAGTGGAAATTACAGATCTAGCGGTCAATGGCATAAAACAAATCTAAAAGAGCTAAGGGAAGAGGTTAAGTGCTATGCTAGTTAATAAGAATGACAGCTTGCTTTGAATACTCATGCTGACTGTCCAAGATATTGAATAAACCTCATTTAAACCAATTTTCATTATTTGTAGAGTCTGCGTTAGGCATCTATCATTGTCAGTGCTATTAATATTCTTTTCAGAGACCACATTATCAGCATATTTAAACGAAAGCTTTCCTTTTCAATATTTATTAACTCATTAATATTTCTTGGTGGTAATATCCTGGTTGTAATATCCAAATTATGCATACTAAGGTATTTTCTACTGATCAAACATCCTGAATTAAAAAAAATTTATTCTCCAGTACTAAAACTGCACTTGAGCTTCTGAAACTATGCTTTCTTTTTATACTATTTATATGAAAAGCATTTAAAATTTACATTTTTGTGGTTTTTTTCAGTAGGCACCAGTAAACCAGTGCACTGACCAGATATTACTGAGCTGACCAAAAGTGAATGATGAATGAATGAGGATATGAAAGTTTATTAATCTTACCGGGGTTACAGTCTGTGAGGAGGGAGCAGATGGAGAGGAGAACTTTAGAAATGGTTAACGCTGGACTCCAGTTGTCCTTTAAAATGTCCAGGCAGATGACGCCTTGGCTGTTAATGTTACAGTGGTAGATCCTTGTCCGGAACGTGACCTGGAAAGGAGAGTGTCTCAGTACAGCAGCGTTCAAGCCAGTAATTACACAATTATTAAGCAATGAAGAACCATAGGAACAAACATTCTGCTTTCCATGCTGAAATGATGGGACTCTGCTACTCTGGTTAAAGACTGGGCAAGACAAAAGAAAGGAAATAAATTCTGCCTCTTGCAGCTGTGGCCAGCAGTGAAACCAGTTTGTGCAGGCTGAGAATGGGACACACTTCCTGAGCTTCCTCCTGCCTTGGTCTTATCAATCTCATTATTTTGTATACGGCCAAAAAAAAAAAAAAAGCAGTTCCAGCCCCTGATCTTGACAATGTTCATAACTCAGGTCCACAGCTCTTTCACACTTTGAAGGAAGTCAGAACAAGATAGATTCTTCTACTGTCTTCATCTGTCCATCATTTGACACAATAGATTAAGCTGTAAAAAAAATTGCAGAGGCATCACAGCAGTGACTCCTGGAAAAATTGAAGTGAAATAATTTTGAGAAAGGCTGCTCAAATAAAATGATTTTATTTCCAAATTTTAGGTTACATTTTTATCAGTAGAATTGTTTACATACACCTTTTGGGTTTTTTGGTAGTTTATTTTGATGATTCCCATATCTATTTTATATGGTCTTCCAGGTGATCCCACAGGTAACAAACCAAGGAGATTATTTTAGCCCAGAATAATGTCGTACTTCTTCAAGGTGAAGACGCAGGCTTTTTATCTTAGAAGAAGCTCAGCTAGGAAAGTTCACTTCATATTCAGAATGAATACTGGGGCTACTGGATAAGAAGGGACAATGTGAGAAAACCACCTCTTGGAGGTCATCAAGGACTAATTTCTCCATCAGTTCTACCCAAATGGCAAGTCACACCGAGATGGTTTCAATGATATGTTCCTAAATTCTAAAGTTAAGACATACAACTTCAGGCATCTACCTCACCAGCAACAGCCCTGCCAGGAGAGGGGCTGGGCAGGCAGGAGACAACAGCAGGCAAAGCAATCCCTGACTCAGGGAAGCTGTGCTCCTCACTCCACTGGGACAGTGCTAATGTATGCTGAGGGTGCCTACAAACCCAACCCTGCCCTACCACAGATAAACCCCTGTCTGGAGAATAATGCAAACTGTGACAGGCACGCTCCTCTTCTGATTTTCATCAGTATCAGAGATCTCAGTGATCTGAGTGGGACTACCAGGCCACTCAGCAAGCAGAAGAGAGAATACAAGTGAAATAATCACTTGTATGTACTATTATCACTGGTTTATGTCTATAAGAAAATAATTATAGAAATAATTCTCTAGCCCACTGAAAAATTCTGCCTCCTTGGATTAGATCAAGAAGCTTTGACAAAATAATGGAAAGAAAAGATAGTAGATTTATGGTATTAAAACATTTCATTCAACAATAAATACTTCTTCTCCTATGTACTTTCCCACACAGATCTGGAAAAATGTTTTGGAGCCCATTGTCATTTGGAGCCCAGTGAGTTCTATACCAAAGAACCCTACAAAGCAAGTGCATCAGATTTAAAATGCTTCTATATCTAAAGGTATTTCTAATTAATTGGATAATTTGACAATTTGCCACTCCATACTTATAGATTCTTTCATTTTTCCCCCTTCACTTGCGGTTTTACTTGTTGTTTTCCAGCCTATGTGCTTCACTTCTGGGACTTTTATGAGAATTTAAAATATTTCTGGCACAATGATCTCAATTAATCCAAATGCTATAGCCAGATGATTTATTTTCTCCCCCTCATGAGAAACCCAAGCACATTCAGCATTCGGAAGGAAGGAAATCTTCTGTGAGATCAAAAAAGTTATTTAAATAATTTGGTGATAAAATTAAATGTCTGTCTACAAAGGGAAGCTATTTTGAACAAGGAAGGTTATCAAAAGCCATAAACTACCTTATACAAACTGCATGTCAAAAGTGCCCAGAAAGGAAGATGGTGTGCAGAACCATCCTGTGAATTGTAGGTGCTCATTAATTTCCCAGGTAGATTAACTCCAGGAACTCCTATACTCCAGTTAGAAGTGAATCAGTGTCTGCTTCCTAGCAGGATGTCCCAGGACTTAGGCAAGCACCAGCTTAATTTTAAGTACTGTATGCTAACTTTTCAGTACACTGTTGAAATAAAGCTTATGCTTAAGTATTTTACCTCAACAAAGGTGCTGCCCTATACTTCCACAATGAAAAATTTGAGGACTTCATTTGGTGTCATCTCAATACAGAGAGTAATAAGATATGTGTGGTCTCACTGAATGTGGGGGAAACACTGAATCCATTGCACAGATTAAATTATACCCTCTAAAATATTTATAGACAGGTCAGTCTGAGCTTGTAACCTGCTTCAGAGAAGGTCATCGATTTGAGTGTGTATTTTAAGTGTAACTGTTTTGCTGCCAGCAGAGAGGACTGACACTGACACTGCCTCAGCTGCTTCTGAAGCACTGAAGCAAGGACACTGGGAATTTGGCAGGATTCCGAGCCACTGAGATGAATGGAGGTAGTCAAAGTCTTTCATGAACTGTTCAACACTCTATTGCCATCTCAGGCTACCTGGTGGATAAATGTATGTGGGACTACACCTGTTTGCAGTTGGAAGGCTGTTTTTAGAAAATGCTCAGACCTGAAATATTGCATTTTTTCACTATGAGTACATATTAAACCTGTGAGATTGAGAAAGGCAAGATAAGGCTTGCTGCTTACCACTGACAATGTCGCCAACTCACCAAATATGCCACTGCACTTTAAAATGCCTGCCTAAGACAGGCAGGCATTTAAATAATCAACCTATTAGTTATTTTATAATTACAATACATCATATTTAATAATTTTAATACTGAAAAATCAATTCAATTGATTAATAAGAAGAATCACAGTGTTTAGAATTGCAGAAGAAGCTGTATTAATGACAGCCTTAATACACTGGAAACTGTGACCTGAAGGTTGCAGGTAACAGAGTTCTCACCCCAAGGCAGCAGAGTACAAATGGGATGACACATTGCTTTCCTCATCCATGTATTGCCTCAAATTGCTGATAATATGGGAAATGCTGAGATGTAACTCTCTGGATGTTGTGCTTACCATAGCTACATTATAAGGTTATGCAGGGTCCTCCTATTCTATGTGTAGAGAGAAAACATGTGTTAATACCTTTCCAGGGGAACTGCATTTTCTTTATTATGGTAATATGTTTACCTTTGATGTCACTTAAACGTTTCCTTTAAATGGTGGACTCTAATTCCATTTACCTCCTAATGGAAACACCTAAACAATCCCATGCAGGGGCTCAAAGGAGTGTGTGGGTGTGCAGGCGAAGTCACCTTCAGACAATTAAATGGTAGAAGAGAAATTTATGGGTTTTCTTGAACAATAAGTGTTCTCTATGGATTTATTCTCTTTCATTCTGGAATTTAAAGAGCATATTTAATTTTTGTTGAATAAAAGTGTAGGTCAGGAAAATGCAAATTACGGGAAATAGGGAAAAAATGGGACTATCTTCTAAAAACTGTGAGTACTACAAACAAACTTTCAAAAGGTAATGATAAAGAATTTATATTCAATCACTTTTGAAAGTAAACAAGAATAAACTCATCTGTTATCTAGTGCTGAATGTCAAACATGCAAAGCTATGTCTGACTGTTCACTGAGTAAGATTTAGGACTGAAAAAAGACTGTTTATAGAACCTGGGAAGAGCAAACTAATATGAATTTCAGGTCAGTGATTGGAGACAACTAGTTGAAGGCAAAATAAGTAATTTCTGGATCTCAGAGTGATTTTCAACACCAGTTTTCCAGCATGATGTAGTCTTAAAATAACTTGCTATCTCTCTTTTCCACGGAGGTCTAAACACAGCAGTCACTATGGTGCCTAGTACACCATCTCACACACTTTCAGACTCCACTAAATTCAGTTGCAATCTTCTTCAAAATCACATCAGCAGGAAGAAATGATTCCCTAGTTTTACAAATTACATGCAAGGGCTTACAGTGTGCCCTTAAGGTTTGCTTTCATCAGCCTCTTTGGGGCTCAAACTCTCACCTCCTGCTTCTCAGTCACTAGAGCCTGGTGACTGTGTAGGGTGAGAGGAAAAATCCCCAGAGCCAACTGGAAAATAAACAAAAACGATCTCCTTTTGCTCAGCTAACACTGGAAGCAGAGTTAAGATTCCAGGGCTCTCATTCCCATGATTTTGGGAAGTTCCTTTCAAGAATTTTCATTTCTGACAAGGATGGAATCCTGCATGCCTGCTTGAGATGAAATTTCTGTCTTCCTCAAATATATCCCAGGAGTTCTGCTTTAATAAAACTGCAGTGGCACTACCTGAAGTGGAAGAAGTTGTACTGCATACAGAAAAGGTTTTATATATATATATATATACACATATACATACATATATACATATATACATATATACATATATATATATATACATATAATATGATGCCATTTATGATGATGTTCATAGAGCTCAGGAGAGAGTAAGTTGTTCCCATCTCAGTTTGTCAGACTTTATGAGCAATACATTTGTCCACTCAGAGCAAATAAAAACAAGATCAGGCCTACACTCTTCAGTCATATGAGAAAAATAAAACAATCTAAATGAAAAGTGCATATAGCTCTGAATGACACAACATTCATGCAATAACCTTTATATTAATTAGCACCCTTTAATTCCTTATAGAGTGCACTTCATTTATCCATGAGCACTCAGGCTGCCTTTTTAAGACAGGATGGACTATTTCCACTTTGTTAGTACATATTTGTAGCATGCACATGAACAATTGTTGAGATACTTAATGATTTATCACAAAAAGTGCATAAAACCTGACTGGCCATTTGATGCTCACTATTTAAGAGTACTTTTAAAATTTACAGCAAGAAATGAACTTCATCCAGCTCTCAAAACACTTGATTACATCTAATTTTACTTGGTAAAAAACAGATATAATTTATTTTATTGAAGGAAAATGCATGGTAGCTGCATTAGCAGAA